ATGCACATTTTACTGATGGGCTATAAATATGAAGGTCCCCCCTTTCACTTCCATAGTTTGGGAGAATAACTCATAGAACTCAAGAAAAGGCTCTACTTAGGAATACATTGTATTACAAAGAATACTCACATTTCCATGCCCTCTTATCATGGAATTAGGGTGTGTTACTGTCCTGGTGCTCACAGAACAGGAAACAACTGAGATTCAGGGTCCATGGTTTTTAATGGGGTTTCATTGTCTGAATTATTGGCCATGAATTTGAGTACAACCCCCAGGCTTCTGTCCCCTCCCTAGAGGTCAGGAGGTCAGGTTACTATCCCAAGGCTCAAAGCCCCAACCTCTAATGAGATGATTGATCACTCTGGTAACCAGTCCCCATCCTGAAGTTATCTAGGGACCTATCATGAGTCACCTCCTTAGCACAACAAAGCCACTCCTGTCTCTCAAGAAATCAAAAGGGACAAAAGTCAGCCAAATTCCTTATTATACAATGTTCATGAGAGATATTGGTCTATAATTCTGTTTTTGTAGTGAGTTTTTGGTATCAAAAACTTATAAACTTTTAAACAATTAGGATTGGGAAGTGTTCCCACCTCCTCTGTTTTCTAAAAGAACTTAATAACGTTGTTACTTTGAAAAGACACCCATAAAGTTCCTGGAGTCTGTAACTTCTTGTGGTCTGGAGACTATATTCCCCCTGACACCTGAGCACTCCCAGGAATTTTATGTTTGGGGAGCTAAGTACTGAGGTCAATCTGACCTGAGATGCCTTTGGGGGAACTGTTCCCAAACTGCACATCACAAGCTGATGTAACATCAGGAGCATTTGCAGAAAGATGCCATTTTATCTTGACATTGATCCTGTTGTAGAGCAACCCCGGGAGTGGGGGTGGGGTCCACAAAGCCTGTGTAGGATTAGCTCAGGACATCATTTCCCCCTAACAATCCCAAAGTAACTTTTTGATCCCACCACTGAACAAACGTTAATAGAGCAGTAATTCAAAAGAAGCCCTTATTGTTGAGACTGCTTTGAGTAAACAGGAAGGTCATGCACTTTTTCCCTCCTGATACCAGTTTTTGTGTTTTTTTTTTTTTCTTCTGTGACGTAGAGATGTCTTTTAATAGACATGAGCAAAGAAGTAATTTGTTTTAAGGACATTATTCTGAGTCGACAAAACCAATCTCAAAGGTTGCATGCTATACGATTCCATTTATATGACATTCTCAAAATGACTAAATTATAATGATGGTGAACAGATGAGCCCTTGTTAGGGCTTAGGTTTAGGGTAGGATTTTCCTAAAAAGAGTAGCATGAGGGAGCTCCTTTTTGTAATGGAACAGTTCTGTGTTTGTCCCCACAAATCTGTATTTGTAAAAAAATTTCATAGAACTGACACTCCTCCCCATCTCAAAATAAAGTGAAAGAAAAAAAAAAACCTAGTGAAATATGAATACGATGTATATTACAGTTATATGTACCTATGTACCTTATACCTAAGTCATTTTCCTTGTATTATTGATCATTGTGTTGTGATTACATAAGATTTTATCACTAGGGGAAGCTGGGTGAAGGATGCCCAGGGCCTCTAAACTATTTCTTTTTCTTTTTTTTTTTAAAGATGTATTTATTTATGCATATGAGAACCGGGGTACAGGCCAGAGTTTCAGGGGGTAAGGATTCACCAGAGACAGAGCGGGGAATAGAACAGGCAGACTGACTGAAATACACTGCTGAGGGGAGCAGCGGGTGAGTCAGGAGAGGTCTGCTGCACCATGTGGGTCACCTCCCTGGCCAGGGATCGAACTTGTGCTGCAGTGGCTGCAGATAGCGTCACAGGTTATGCCTTAACCCCTTGCGCCACCAGGGAGGCCCCACCTCTAAACTATTTCTGCAACTACTTGTGAACTGGAAATTATTTCAGGACAAGTTATTGTAATTATTTTTAAATAAAGCACTTTGTCATGGGCAAAATCAAATTTCAATCCAAAAAGCAGAATTGCAAGAAGCATTGATGCTTGGTGTTTAATGAAGGAATGGTTAAGATCACTTGCTTTAACATATAGACTTCCCCATTTTGTGCCCCCAGGCAACTTCTTTATAAAAATAAGAATAATAACAGGGATAGATTGGAATAATAATACTTCAAAGGACATTTATAAGGATCCAGGAAAGTAGTGACTATAAAGCCCTCAGTACAAAGCAACCTATAGGAATGACTCAAGTGCTGTTACAATTTTTTTGTGTTATTTTTACATGCAATTAATACATTGTCTGTTTTGAGCTACCTTTCTATTAAAAGTATTGGGCTTATGCTGAGCTTTGTTTTATTTTTAAAAGGTGCTCATTTTATAGGCCAGAAGGAAAAAGAGAAATATTGTATGGCTTCACTTATAGCAGGAATATAGGGGAACCAAATAAGACATCAGTGTAAAAAATAATAACAGTACAAAACACAACAAAGCAAAAACAGACAATTATAAATCAGAGACATACTGCAGGGGAGGAGGAGGAGGGAGAGGGATCAGAGGGAGGGAGAGAGGAGCATAGGGGACTGAGGTGATGGTGCACGGGTGCATTGGTGAAGGAAACTCTATGGGGACTATACCTGAAGGGGTGGTGGGAAGAAAATATTGCATAAAAATGAAGAATGATGTAAAAAATTGAAAAATAATTAAAATTAAAAAAATAAAATAATTATTAAAAATAAAATTAAAAGTGTTCATTTTATATTTAAATCTACATTTAGAAAATAGCTAAGCTAGTTTTTGTTTTAGTTAATTGGATATATTTTTTAATATTCATTATAACAAAAATGGTACCAATAATAAAAATTTTAGTTCATATTTCTCATAGTATTTTGGTACAGATTACTTTGAACCTCATAACAAGTTGTGATATAGCTAGACAATAATATAGACATTATTGGTACCAATTATGCAGATTAAGAAAAAATGTGGAATGATTACGGGACCTACTTGCTTAAGCACTAGTCTCTAGATGGCAGCTGGAGCAATCCCCATAAATCACAAATTAGGTCATCTCCACCTTCTTCAAGTTCCCACCCATTCAGGGGGAAAAGCAAAAGCCCATCCACTTGGCTCTGTACCTCACCCCAAGTCTTTCCTGAGCCCATATCTCAAGAAGCAATCTCTAACCCCCATATTTAAAATTACAGCCTACTTCCCCGGCCTTCCTAGGCCATCTGCACGTCTTCTGGCTTTTTCCCTAGTACTAATCAGCTTCTGATAGAGCATGCAGTTTACTTATTAATTAAGGTTATTTGTTCTTGTCTACTTCCTTCCATGAGAATGTGAATTCTGTAAAACAAGATTTTTGTTTTTTTTCATGGATATATTTCCAAGAGCCTGGAAAAATGTCTGGCACATAGTAAGTACTCAGTAAATATTTGTTGAGTGAATGAATGAACTCAGGACAGAGAGTGAGTTCCAAGTTAATAAGCTCCTTCATTTATATAGGCTATTCTTCTATTTGTTGCCTCTTTGGGTAGGAAGACGGACACTGGACAAAAAAAAAATGAATAAGATTGTTTAATCCAAAACTCAAAGAATTGGTCTAACTGTGCTCCTAGAAGTTGCTTCTGAAGGTCCTTCCCTCAAGGGAACATCCTGTTACCGAATGTTCCTTAAAATATCTTTCAGATCTTTTATCAGAGGCTCTCTCTGAAAGAGGTCTTTTGGCAGCAGACCAAGCAAGAGGGGCATGAAGCATCACAATGGAGTTAAGTAAGATGTAATGGAGTAAAGGGGTTGGCCCACGGAAAAAGCATGCGGCTCAGAGAGACACGGAGACTCGGGTGCCAGGGCCACTTGGGAGAGAGTGGGTGGTAGGTGGAGACTTTGAGGGGGTAGATGATTTTCTCCCTGGAAAGCCACAAGAGTTTGGGCTATAAAACTTCAAGATCTATTCTAGTCAGACGGCTATCAGTTATCCAGAGGGAAAACAGAAAAGTTAGAGGGAACAATCTTTACTAGTGCAGTCCCATTGCTATATTCAACCCCAGTTTATAATTGAGTCTCCAGTTGAGAAACTGGTGCCATTAACCAAAAAGTGCAATTGAGTACATTAAGCATGGAAGGCTATATTTGACCTTAAGAGCGCATCTAGTTTTGGAGAAAATTAACTTTGGTTTGTACTGGTTTCCACTAGTCTCTGCTGGCATCCCTTTGGCCTGTGGGCATTAACCACCTCAGCCCATAGGGAAAACTGTTGTAATAGGTGGTTCGAGTACTTGGAGCAATTCTGAATTGGTGTGAGTGCCTTGTGCTGGGGAATTTGCTACACATTGTTTTTTCTGACTTTGTATGCACTTTGAAAGGAACACAGAGAGGAAATATGACTTCCTGTTTCCCTTAAAATCATGTCTATGATAAACAGTTTCACTTTCAGCATTGATCAACCTTGCAGGACTTTGCAAGGGTAGACCCGAACCGTCTTACTTTGGTATCTCTATCTGGATAACCGATTTCAATGAAATAAATCCATCCTCTTCTTTTATATCTAGGTCAGCTTTTTCCCTTGGGATTATTTAAAATGTGATTGTAGTTTGTACTCAAGAGTTTCCCAAGAGTTTTGAGAGTAACTGAAGTCAATCTTTATCTGTAAATATCTGCTTAAATATATAAATTGTATAGCAACTCTTTCTGTCTTCTGATTGAGCCAAAAATGATTTTCCTAAATACAAGTCAATGTTTTGCAAGTTCATGGAGCTCAGTGTAATGGGCATCCCATTTGGGAGCTTATGACCTGGAAAATTAGAAGTTATAACTGAGTGTGAAAACCCATGTCACAGGCCTGACTATAAAAGAGGGGTCAGGGTCTTGGTCCTCGTCCAGTATATGTGTTCTTTACTAAAATCAGTGCCTAACAATGTGCCCCCAGGCCAGATACTATACCAATTCTTCTGTTCTACCTTCTGCTTCCCACCACTCCACATTCCTCTCTCATTTCATAGAAGAAAACAAACACCCCTCTGACTTACCTGGAGATTCTCTGGGGCATCAGTTCTCAAATGTTTTGGTCTCAAGATCCCTTTACAGCCTTTAAAAGTTATTGAGAACCAAGTAAGTTTGGTTTATGTGCGTTAGATCTATTGAATTAGAAATCAAAATGGAAAACTTAAAACAGAAGAATATACAGGTCCATATTCCAATAGCTAATAGAGCTAGTGACATCATAATACATAACACAACCTCTGGAAAATTCCATCATTCATTCCTGAGAGCATGAGAGTGGAAATGGCAAATAAAGCGTATTATTATCACAAGAATAGTTTTTACTTTTGAGCACCCCTAAAATGGTTTCTGGGATACACAGGAGTCTCTAGATCTCCCTTTGAGAACAGCTGCTTGTACTTGCTTGTGCTGGCTTGAGGCTAAGAAATTTCCAGACGATCACATGGAAAATTCCAAATTTTCTCCAGCAAAGGAGTTGCCCTCTAGTAAAATTTATATTTAAAGATTATATATAGTGTTTTCATCATTTGTTCCTTAATAATAATTGCAAGGATGATCAATCTAGAAGAAAAAAATTTCCCCAGTTTCAATATTTCAATATTTGAAAGTCAATGACTTTCAAACACAGGTACCAATGCCATTAAGATAAAATGCTTCAGGGGAAGTTGAAAAGTCCTAATGACAAACATCTGACTGCTGGTGGGGAATTATTTCAGTGGGTGAGAAGGTCCCCAACCCTGTAGTGTGTATATTACACACTTCAAGACCCTTTAAAAAGGCGTTTCATTTTAAAATATCAGTATATGCAGAACACTGAAATTACATTCTTTGTAGAGATTATTGCAAAAACAACAACAAAGCAAAACCAAAAAGAAAAAATTATACTCAGCTACAAACCTCAAAATGAGCGATAGGCTAAGAAATAAATACCCATGAGATAAGGTATTCACAGGTGCCCTCATATAGCTGTGACTAGTGGGTTTGAGAAAAATGCTCCCCTTGAGTGAAATAAATGTTTTCCAAGTCATCACACAGACTAGTGGCAGTTTTATCTTTCACTCGAGGGAGGTGACCAAGATGTGTGAAGGCTTATTCCTGACATCTCACTTTTTAGCAGTTGCGCTCATCAAAACAGTCTTAATCAAGCAGTCCAATTTAGGATTTCCCTCCTGTCTCATGGAAATTCTCCTCCTCTTGGAAGATTAAAATACCTGAAGTGTCTGTCACATTCTTTGAGAGTAATACAGGTCACTGCAGAATTGTGGCTCAGGTGTACAGCTTTTTTTTTCCCTCAGATAAAAAACTCAGACACCAAGACAAACTTCTATCTGAATGGAAAAGTATAAAACACCTTCAGCATGGCCTTTTTTCTGTGCACATCCAGTCCTTCAGGAGAAGTACTAACAAAATTTGGATCAGACTGTGTTTCTTTCTAGAACATCTTGCAGACACCGTCCTCTGGCCACATGGCCCAACCTCCTTGTGGCATTTGCCAGGAGGCATCCACATGACTCAGGCTTCCTTGCTCATGCCTGGCTGGGCTTCACGTAGCAGCGGGCTCCTCCTAATTTTTCAAATCTTTAACTACTCTGTTAATGCCAAGTTCTGAATTTTAAAAGCAACAGATGGAAAATTTCCTACATAAATAGATGGGTGAAGAAAACATAACAAACTCTTCAGGCAAGAAGCAAACAGGGGCGTATTTTCAATAATTTTATCTTTGTCCAGTATGTGATGGAAACCGCGCACCGGATGATGCTCATGTGTGCCAGGGGTACAGACGTTTCCAGTTGCAACTAGATGGGATATGTGGCTGTGCCTTTTAAAGATAACCTTTTTTAAAATTTCAGAATAGTTTTAGGTTTACAGAAAAACTGTGGAGATAGTACAGAGAATTCCCATAAACCCCACCCCCACATTCCTCTATTAATAACAACTTACCTTATGGGGATTACACCTAAAGGGAGAAATCAAATTGTACAAAAATGAACAAAGACAAAAATAAATAAATATATTTTTAAACTAAAATAAATTATGAAAGGAAAAAATCTTATTAAAGTTCATACTTTATTCACATTTCCTTAGTGTTTACCTAATACCCTTTTAACAGTGCCAGGATTTCACCCTGGATTTAGTTTTCATGTTTCTTTAGGTTTCTCCTGGTTGTGACAATTTTTCAAACTTTCCTTGGTTATTATGACCTTGGCAATAGTGAGGAGTACTCAGTACTGATCAGGCTTTTTGCAGAATGTCCCACACTGGACCTGTCTAATGTTTTTCTCATGATTAGATTTGGGTGATATGGTTTTGGGTGGAAGAAGGGAGAGAAAAAGTGCCACTTTTATCACATCATATCATGGGTACATTCTGACAACATAACTTATCCCTTGGCCTTGATCATCTGGCTGAGGTAGTGTTTGTCAGTTTCTCCACTCTAAGGTTTTTCTTTTTCCCCCTTTCTGTCCTGTCCAATTTGTAAAGAAGTCACTAGGCACAGCACATGGTGCTTGAGTTGAGAGTTATGTTCCATCTTCTTGAAGGCAGAGCATCCATGCAATTTATTTGGAATTCTGGGCAGATTTGTCTATTCCCCCCCATTTATTTATTCATCATTTATAGTGGTATAGACTCATGGATAGTTATTTATATTTTGGGTTATAATCCAATGCTACTTCATTTATTTTCTTGCTCAAATTATTCCAGTGTCAGCCATTAGGAACTCTTTCAGTTTGCTCCTGTGTCTCTTTGCCTTGCCCCTGTCACTGTGTGTGTGTGTGTGTGTGTGTGTTATGCTTTTTCTGTTGTGTTTTGCTCCAGGCTCATTGTTTATGTTCCCTACCTTAATCTAAGAATCAGCTATTTCTTTAAGTGCTCTGGTTCCTTTTTTTGGAGAATGGTATCATAAATCAAGATCTGGATTAATTCTCTTACTTTCTATTCAAAATGAATGAATCAACTATATATTTGTTTTATTTTTAAGAACTCTTCAAACCTCTGAAATGATACTTTTTTTCTTCACTTACTTCTAGTGTCTCTTTGAGCAATAATCATGTCCTATATTTGTATAATATGTGAATTGCCTAATTTTTACTATTCCAAGTGGATTCATTATCACATATTATCTGAAAATTTAAGCTGTGACTTTTTTCCTTCTATTTCTGGTATTTTGAAATGTCTGTAGTGCGTGACGTAGTACATCCTGGGGCACTAAACAACAGGGGCTTAGGTTCAGCCTCAGAAACTACTTTTCTTGATATTGGGGCCAGCGATCCCCTTTAAGAATCCAAATGATACTGCTTTACTACCTAACATCTCACCAAAAAAAAAAAAAAATCTCATATAAATCAATCAATCAGTCAATCAAGGATTTGTATGAAAAATCAGCAGCTATTTAGGTCCATAGTTGTCTCATGCCTGACACCTAAGGTTTAATACTAGGTTTGTTTCCCAAACACCAGCACACTTTAAGAATTAACTTTGCATTATGCCTTGAAGCCATAAATCCAGCATGAAAGAGGGGTGAGACAACAGCAGGGTTCTCTGTGGCTTGGCTCACGGTCTCCTTCCATTCCAGGACTGACCGAGACAGCGATCTTCAGCTGTGAAGCCCACAATGACAAAGGGCTGACCGTGTCCAAGGGCGTGCAGATCAACATCAAAGGTGAGTAGCAAAGCCAGGTCCTTTGCTTGTGTTGTGGGAGCTGATGGGGGGACACAGCCTGAGCTCAGCAGCCAGCTGCTTGGGTTTCAGCCCTGAACCCCCCCATTGACTTCCTTTGCGACCTTGGATGTAACACTTAACCTCTTTTGGCTTCAGTTCTGCCCTCTGTCAAATGAGGATAATTACAGAACCTACCAATATTTGAAGGTTAAATGAGATGAGGAAAATAAAGGCACTCACAACGTGCCTGGCACGTGTCTTTGGTCAACATCATCTAGTTTAGTTCTACTTGGTCTGAGAAGAAAAGAGGCACAAAAGGGAAGAGCAGGTCAGAGACACTGTCCTCCCAGGTCCCATGCTCCCATCGCTCCTTGTAACCGCCCTCAACTGGTTTCTCTGAAGTGGGCTGTAACAGATGTTACATGTGTTTGGAGGCATGTAGTTTGGAGGTTCCCTGGGCTAGTGGAGATATTCTTTTATGGGATCAAAAGTATTTAGATCTAAAACTTGAAAAGAAAGGAAAACTGAAAGGAAATATTATCTTTTTCATTCCTTTCAAATCATCTTCTTTTCCCTCTCTCATAGAAATTCAAGAATATTTTATGTGTTAGTATTTGTTCTTAATTCAGATATTGAGAATCAAATATCAAACCATATTCCCTGTTGTCTTATTTTGGAGGAAACATCACAAGGGAAAAAGCAGAACATATTTAATAATGAGCTAAAGGTTGGATAATCTATGGTAGGGATCTCAAAATTACAGAAGTTATACTTTAAAAAGATACTGATATTTAGTATTAGCATATCAACTAGATTAAAGGGTATAAGAGGGCATTTCCTAAAAGTTCATTGGAAAAAAAATGAGTAAGTGAAAAGTTATTACTGGAGGAACTGTATAACTTCCTTCATTACTAATCCCATTATTACTATTTTCAAAAGCAATGTTGGGAATTTCAGGAATTCACGAGTGGGCGTAAATTTAGAAAGACATTTCCATAAAGAATAAACATTTTAAAATTTAAGAATCTATAAAGTGAGATGCACTTCTTTGATTTTGTTCTTCACAAAGAATCTCAGCTAAGATTTTTTTAAAACAAATCCTATTTCCAAACCTGCTGTGGCTTTCACTTTATATCCAATCAACCAAGATCCTTTTCTTCTAATCTGTTATTAACGAAAGTATCTGTGGCCAAATTTTGATCTGGAAAGGTTGCTATTTTAGCACTATTCTACAAATAAGCTCTTTAGGGAAGTGAGTTAAACAAAATGCTGAATCCTTCCCATTCAACAAGCTATGTGTCTCCTAGTAAAACCGAAACTTCTAAATACGGTACCCAGTGGGTGCTTAATATGGTCCTGGCCCGCCTCCCCAACCCATCCTGCACCACCACCACACCTCCACAAATTACATACACATTGAGTCCTTCCTGCAGCCCCATGGAACAGTGCTATTACCATCCTCATTAATAGAAGTGGGAACTGGATTTGGAGAGGGCATTAACTATGCCTGGTGCCAGACAGCCACCCCCCAGGCAAACTCCAGTGTCCTGTTGAGGGACATGAGCTCTGGGATCAGAGAGACCTGAGTTTATCCCCATTCCCTGATAGGATTATAATAATTATTAAACAAAGTTCAAAAAATGCAAGCACATCATAAGCACACAAAAATAATAGTCATTTTTTGGGCCTCCCCTGATGGCACAGCGGTTGAGCACTGGGCTGCGAGGCTGCCCACAGCCTCTGCAGTGCCGGTTCGTTCCCCAGCCGCCGGCGAGGGTCCCACCAAAAAAAAAAAAAAAAAAGTCATTTCTTAATATGTGTATCATTGCTATGTAGTGAGAATTAAATTAGCACCAGAAAATAAGCTCCCCAAACTTCGGATCTTAGATTCTAATTGAAATAGCTGTCCTCATCCCATATGTAGCCAAGGTCATTAAACACTCTCTACAGGAGCCCCTCCCATCCCTGAAGCACATTCAGGTGGTTCCTTTACATGAACTGACTTTCACCTGTTTTCTTAACCTGAAAAGCTATTCACACACACGTGTGTTTTCTCCCGTGACACCCCACTCTTGTCAGCATAACTCACATTTAAAATGGGTCTCCCCCACACAGCCATTCACTCAGAGCTCCAAAAGTGCAGGACCAAGACTTTCTGTCCCCATTTGTGGCACTAGCACAAAGCAAGGTGCCTGCACACAGAAGCACTGTGAACATGAGCTCAGGGAAAGACAGGCACAGCTCTGCATCCTCTTTCAGCTAAATTCTCACTTCGTAGTGGCCTGGAAAGCAGGTCTGTGTTCCACACCTCTGACCCAGGAGGGCTCTCCAATCCCTGGATAGACAGGATGCCTTGTCTTTAAAATTTGTGTTTGGTTTTACCACTCTAAGAAATGGAAACGGGCTTGGTATTAATACATTTGTTTGGTAGCTGTGGCCTCCTGTGGCATATAATTGTATTGGGGTGTATACGTTTATTTTCACAGTGATCCCCTCCCCACCAGCTGAAGTCAGAGTCTACAACACTACATCACACAGCATCCTGGTCTCCTGGGTCCCAGGTTTTGATGGATACTCCCCATTCAAGAATTGCAGTGTTCAGGTAAACCTCCAGGGTGAAGGGGAGAGTGGCTGTTCAGTGCTGTGTGGGTCTACTTGATTTCTCTACCTCCTGAGTATGGGCACTGAGGGTGTTCAGCACCTCTGTTCAGAGTCCTTTAACTTCCTCCCTGCTCATTGCCCAACACTCATGAACCCACTGATGGTGTTCTGCGCCTAGGATGCTGCCTCCACCCTGTACATAGTCCAGGACTAAAGTTATAACATCTGAGACCAGGGAGAATTAATTCTTAAAATACAAAACACGTCTCTAAATGAGGACTGGCTTGTGACCAGGAATTCAGAAAGCCAGTCTGTCTCCTTCTGCGCTGGTGACCACGAAGGAAAATGGGCAAGCTCAAGATGGGTTATCTTTGCTGTTGAAAGTAGCACCTTGGCCCATGGCTCCCAGGGAGACCTGGAGATTACAAGTTTTGTAGTCTTTACCCATTCTTAATAAATGACTAAAATTGGCATAGAATAGTGCTATAGGAAATATAGATTAGCCATCCTAAAATGTTACGTTGCCATGAAGTAAACTCTGCTCTGAGTATTCATTTCATGAAATGGAAAGGATAGCAGTAACATTACTGATTAATGAATGCCCATATTAGCAGACATCATTTTACTTAAAACTCATAGCAGTACTGCAGGCTCAGAGCAGAGCATTCATGTAGCCTGTGAAAGGCAGAACCAGAATTCAAATCCAAAAAACTTACTTAGGACCATCTGCTCCTGTGTCTCAGGAGAGTCCTTGCAAGTGGAAGCAGGTAACTGAACACTGGATCATATGCTAGAAACATGAATGCATTCTGCCCTGTACTCTATCACACAGTACAGTCAGGAATAGTTCTCAGTTACATAAATGTTGAGTCTGGGGCTTCCCTGGGGGCCTAGAGGTCAAGTCTCAGCGCTATTACCACTACAGCAAGAGATCTAATCCACACGGCACAGCAGACCTCTCCTGTCTCACCTGCTGCTCCCCTCAGCAGTGTATTTCAGTAGATCTGCCTGTTCTGCCCCTCACTCTGTCTCTGGTGAATCCTCTCACCACCACCCCCCCACACACACCCTTGACCTACATCCCATTTCTTCTATGAAAAATAAATTTTTTAAATTAAATAAATGTCCAGTCTTATTAGTTTAAAACATGTTAACCCAACTCAGGACAGTCATGCCAACTCAAATGAGAAAAGTGACTTCCAAAGAATTTTATGTATTGACAACCAGATGTTTTTAATACCAAATGGGATTGATTTCTTGGCTCTTGTTGCCTCCTACTCTCATCTAAGAACTGTTCCTTCTCTGAAGAGTAAAACATGTATTATCCCCTAAATAGCCTCCACCCTTAACTTACCCTGCCACCCATAGTCTTACTTCATTCTTGCCGAACTTTATGTACAAACCTTCCGAGTACTGGTAAGTGTTAGAAATTCTTATTATGTCTATAAATTCCTCAATGGAGGCCATCATTTTTTAAAAATAAAAAACAAAACAGCTTTTTGGGAGACCTTTCATACAATAATATTCACTCATTTAAAGTATCCTGTTTTTAACATATTCAGTTTTTAACATATTCAGTGGTTTTTAGTGGACTTACGCAACCATCACCATTACATAATTGTGTCTGTGTTTGTAAATGATACGGGAGTGTATTTTTCTTGTGTGAGCTTTTTTTGCTTCTGGCATCAGGATGATGCTGCTCTTACAGAATGTATGGGGAAGTGTTCCTTCCTCTTCTGTTTCTTGGAAAAGTTTGTGAAAGATTGATGTCAACTCTTTAAATATTTAGTAGAATTCAGTGGCAAAATCATCTACTCCTGAACTTTCTTTGTGGAAAGTTTTTTCAATACTAGTTCAATCTTTGTATTTGATATATAGCTACTCGGATTTTCTATTTCTTCTTGAGTCAGTTTCGGTAGTTTGTGTGTTTCTAGGAATTTGACCATTTCCTCTTATCTACTTTGTTGGAATATATTTGTTTATAATATTCCATTATAACCTCTTTTTTCCTTTGAGGTTAGTAGTAATGTATCTTCTTTCATTCCTGATTTTAATAATTTTTGTCTTCTGTAATTTTTTTTTGGTCAGTCTAGTTGCATATTTGCCAATTTTATTGCTCATTTTATGAATAATAAACTTTTGCTGTTATGATTTTTTTCACCTTTTCATTCATTTCTGCTTTAGTCTTTATTTCCTTTCTTCTTTTTGCTCTGTCTTAGTTTGCTTTTTTCAAGGCTTCTTAAGGTGACAGATTCGGTAATTGAGTTGAAATTTCTTCTTTTTTAAAAAGGCATTTATACTTTACATTTTCTTCTTAGCTTGAGCTTTTGCAACTTCGCTGCATCCCATAAATTTTGGTATTTTGAATATTTTCTTTATTCATCTTAAGATTGTTGTCATTTTCCTTGTGATTTCTTGCTTGTCCTATGATTATACAGAGTGTGTCATTCAGTTTTCACATAGTTATAAATTTCTCAAATTTTATTGCTTGTTAATATATAATATTATTCCAGTGTATTTGGAGAATATAGTTAATATAGTCTTACATCTTCTTATAGCCTAATATATGTTATATCTTGAAGAATGTTTCCTGTGCATTTGAGGACAAAGGTGTATTTGGATATGATTGTGTAGATTGTCCTATGTGTCAGTTAGGTCAGACAGTTTATACTCTTGTTCACATCTTTTGTTTTCTTGTTGGTCTTCTGGCTGGTGATTCTAGTTATTAAAAGAGGGGAATTAAGGTATCAACTGTTTTGCTTCATGTATTTCAAGACTGTCGCTGGGAACAACTAGGGCTTGTTTCCCTATATATGGACATAACTATCCCTGTATATGGACATACATGAAATGGACCGGCCCTTTTAAAAACAGTTGCTAAGCTGCTTGAGGAGTCCAAGAGGACATGAAACTCTTTTCCACATGAAGATAGTTCATGTCAAAGAAACCGAGGGAAAGTGCTCCCCCACCCTGCAGAGTGGATCTCAGAGTACATGTGAGGTGATGTAGATGTGAGTAGGATGGTCGGTAGATCTCAGAACAGCGGGTTGCCCCTGACAGTGAAAGGTGATCACATACAAACTTCCTTAGCCTGCTCTCTTTTCCTTTTCCTTGCTGGATGGCTCTGGCTCGTGTGAAAAGTCATCCTGTGATTGGAAAATAGGATCTTATAGTCAGACATGGTTATTCTCTCTTTGCCCCACCTCAACCTTCCTTCACTCATTTAAAATAAGAATAAGAATAGTTGTTTACAAATTAAATTACATGAGTAATTTTGTGACATACCTATACATGTAATTATTTGTTTTTTTCCTGAAATTCAAGTATAATTGGGTGTGCTTTGTTTTTTCCTGACAGTTCTAGTGGAGTTAGTAAGGGCTGGCTCCAGAAGTTATACTTCTATATTCTGTTCATAAACTGTATTCCCTATTTTTGAAGGGACTAAGAAAGGTTTCATAGCAGGTGCCCAGTTCATTACAATTTTTAACTCTGACTTGGTAACAAATGAATGCTTTGGACAAATTCCAAATCTATGCACTAATAGGACACACCCTCTCATTTCCTTTGGTCCTGGTAGTTCCTTTCTTCACCCACTTTTGGACTACATACTCCATTTCTATTTTTAACCCTCCCACATACTTCTAGCCATTTCATGCCCTCTTTTCCCCTAGGACCCACTGAGAAGGACTGTTATAGAAACCCTGTCTTCTTCCAGGAGCATGCTCTTAAGGAGTGTCCCTCTGGCTGGAAATGCTCCAGAAATTAGACGGGGATGGAGAGCAAAAGGTTTCCTTGACCCCAGTTTCAATGGTTGGTCACCAGGAAGTAGGTGCATAGTCTAAAGAAACAAAAAGTAATGTCTGCCAGCAACCGCCCCCCCACGCCGCCCACCCCCAACAGATACGCACACAGTTTTTTGTTTTTCCTCTGGTGGCTCCTCAAGGCAGTAGGTGCTGTCTTGTCACTCAGTGTGGTCTGCTGGATCTAAGACATGAGACCGGGCCTTAACATCACCTTGTGATAAGCACTAGGGGGATAGAAATTCCAAACTATTTATTTGTGGCCCCAAGCCCTAAATTTCAAACACATCTCTCCTGAAATGACAGCATTGTCTACCCATATCCCATAATTGCAAGTCCATTATTATCAGGAACATAATTTGTGGGTTTAAGACTTTTTTTCCCCCAAATTGTTTTTGGTTGCTTCTGTTTTGTCCAAAACTATTTAGTTATTTCTGATTTTATAAGTATATAATACAGAAAATTTTAAATTTAAATTCTGAATTTTAAAAATGTAATGGAGTAAAAGGAAAACAACTCTCCTTCATCCCCACTCCCAGATAGGAGGTGTGCATAAAGAAAAGGGTGGCAAGTTTGACCTAGACTAAAGTTTTGCTGGGAATCTCCCTCTTGCTTGTGCACACAAGGGATATCTAGAGAGCGGTGTGGAGATACTGATGGAATTTATGGAGGGAAAAATGAGAACTCAGGAGAGAGCTGATATGTTTTAAAGAGATTTGGAGAAGTTTATTGGGTGAGAGGCAAATGATTCCTTTCTACATCTTCCTATCAAAAAAATGTCATAGCATCTATATTTTCTGTGTCTGCTTTTGAATTTATATTGAGGTGGATGTGGTAGGTAAGAATAAAGGACATGCAAAAATCAGCATCAAGATGAGAAAAGTTCCTCCTGTTAAATAATGAAAAGAATGCAGATTTGGGGAAAAATCAAGTATCCCATCTACAAAGGAGAAATGTTTTTTTTTTTTTTTTTAGATTTATTTATTTATGAATACTAGAGCTGGGGTACAGGCCAGAGATGGGGTGGTGAGAGGATTCACCAGAGACAGAGTGGAGAACAGAACAGGAAGATTGTCTGAAATACACTGCTGAGGCGAGCAGCGGGCAAGACAGGAGAGGTCTGCTGTGCCATGTGGGTTGTTCCCTGGCCGGCCGGGGACTGAACTTGTGCTACGGAGGCTGCGGGTTGCTTCATAGTGCGGTGCTTTACCCTTTGCACCACCAGGGAGGCCCCGAGAAATGGTTTCTTGAAGGGACCAGATAGTAAATATCTTAGACTTTGCCACCCCCTATAATATCTATTGTCTTTGTTAAATATTCTGTGAAACAAATCAAGAACTGAGGTGGTTCTGAGAGAGGAAAGGCTACTTTAATTTATTTTTTTAATATGATGTTACAAATTATAATTATTACAATTATTTGCTGTAACTTGCCATAGTGAGAACATTAATTTGAAGTATTTTCCTCAGGTCCTCAACTGTTGCTCAAGTAGCATGAATAACACACACACAGTAATGCTGGTAGGAAAATCTGTGTGTGACCTGAGAGGAAATAGGTACTTCCCCGCCTCCCTAGTGGAGAGGAAGGACCACGTGCACTGAATACGTGAGTGCCCACAGCTACATCCCGCCACCTTACTAATGCTTTGTCCACAATTTACTCTTAATGTAGGCCAAGGAAGTAGACCCGCTGACTAATGGCTCAGTCATGATTTTTAACACCTCGGCTTCACCACAATTCTATCAAATTGAACAGCTGCAAGCTCTGGCCAATTATAGCATCGGTGTTTCCTGCATGAATGAAATCGGATGGTCTACACTGAGCCCTTGGATTCTGGCCACCACAACTGAAGGAGGTAATTCCTGGGGTTAGAATGAATATTGCCCTGATGACATGTTAACTTAACAAATCCTTCCCAATGGTCTGGTTTAGAGATTTGAGTTTTGCTTTGCTTGGTCTTTGTCTCTGGAGGAGAAACTTACTGAGGTGGTTAATGAAAATGAAAAAGAAGATAATTCCTTCTGTTTCAGAGCTCCCAAAATATGTGGGTCCAGAGACCTTCTAGAAGAAAGAATTCATCAGGGTGTTTTGGGTGAACCAGGCAAAGTTTATTAAAAGTGCTATAGAGCAACCCCGATATTAAATGGGTTCCTGGCTGTGGGTCCTCACCCGCGCGCTTTAAAGGGACTTATGAATACTCTACTACAGACACACGCCAAAGGGTTAATAAAAGGTTTATTTACAAGAGAAAAGGAAATAAGGAAAATGTACAACTCAGGGAGAAAATAGGGAAATAAAGTCTTTAATGCGTCCTACCCATCCGACGACCTGGAAACCCAAAGTCACTCTCAGAGCTGGCCGGACGCTGCTAGCTGGTGGAGAGCCAAAATGGGGGACCCTCCCAAAGCCCACGTGTCTGCCTTTTGTATCCACCTGGCTGCTTAACCCCACCCTCAGGTCCCAGCCACCTTCCCTTTGGTGGTGATGGGATTTGGAGTTCCCAGTGTCTTTGGCTTTGACCTGGGGTGGGGGTGGAGTCCACAAAGCCTATATGGAATTTGCTTTGGACATCCTTTTCCCCCTAACAAAAGCTCATGCATGAGGGAAGCCCACACTAGGAAGGATGATGCTACTATGTGTTCTATACCCAGTCCTCCTTGTGAAGGTGACTAAACTTCAGCAAGAACCTACTGTGTGCCAGAGAAATCATTAGACTTCCCAGTCTGATTGATTAGAACAGGTTAGAGAACTATTCTGAGCCCTGACTGAGGCTCACACACTAGAAATAAAGAATTATCTCTAGTTCTTTCAGGTGGTTCTTTTCCTGTCTTCCTCCAGAATCATCTAGTGATTCCATTGTCTTCTTCTGAGCATTGTCTTTCTTGCTTTACTCCCTCATTTGCATGAAAAACATCCTCAATTGGCTCCTGAGAGAACATGTGTAAAAAATACAAACTGTCACAACTTACATGTCATTGTGTGATACTGGACTGATAATTTTTCCTAGTATAGAATTTTACATTGGAAATTATTTTCCCTCAAGATTCTAAAAGCATTTCTGCATTGGTTTTTAACTTCATAGTTTTGAGAATTCTGAAGAACTCTGGTGCTTGTATTTTCTAGGTGAACTACTTTTTAGTTTCTAAAGATATCTTTTATAATCATAGTGTTGTAATGAGCTATGAAGCGGAATTTGTTTCAGTCATTATCATGGGTGATCAGTGGCCTTTTCAACCTGGAAAGAAACAAGTGCTTCTGTTTTGAAAATTTCTCTTATGCATTTTCTTCTTTGAAAATGTTCCATGTTTTTCTTTTCAGAAATTATATTAAACAGCTGATGGACCTCTTCAATTGCTTTCTCAATTTTCTTTTTTCAAACTGACCTCTTTGACTTTTTATTCTACTTTCTTAGAGATTTACTTGATTTATTTCTAATTCTAATGAATATTTTATTTTACTAATCATATTGCAATTTTCAAGAGTATTCTTGAAATTCTTAGACTATAAAGACACATTGAGTTGGCCTTGTTTACTCAAAAATTCTACAACAGATTAGAAAGTATATGACTCATAGGCACAACTTTACCTATATGACATTCCCTAAGCTGAAATTCATTTAACATCATGATTGCTGTTCCTGAAACCTCCCCTAAATACAACTACAGGCACTTGTGCATTATCACAAGTGTTTTAATTTCTTCTAAATATCAAATACTTATTTTTTCATTTCTAAAATGGATCACACTTATATCCTTTTTTGCAATTTGATTTTTCCCCCAGTAGATATTTTTCATATTAAAATACCTAATCTACTTAGTTCTTTTCACTGTTAGTATTGCATTGGAAAATGTATCAAAATATATGATGATTTTTGGCTATCACATTTATTCCTTTTTGTTGCTATTATGCTTTAAGGACAAAAAATCCTTATAAATCTTTATAAATAAAATACAAAATAAAAGAGCATATTATTTTCAGTTTTAATGGAATAGTCAAATTCCTTCTTCCCAGATAAGAAAGTACCATGACGTTGACTAGTTTCCCAAATTATTTTATGGAAATACATACATACATATGTACATTCATATATACACACTTTTTCTTGAGTGCTGTTCCTGTGACCTTATGAGGGTATTTTTTGCCATTTTGACATAAAGGGGTACATGACTTGTGTAGAATTTACTACAGAAGATAAACTAGAGTTTATCTTCTAACTTTATTAATATTTTGTTTTGCTTTTCATATTGTTAATTTTAAGAATAGTATTCTACATTTTGCCATCTCAATAAGTAATTAACATTTGACCCTCTGATCTTCAATAATGAAATAACAGTGAATGATTGATTGATTGTTCCCTGCTTGGACATCTCAAACACATAGAACCAATCTCCTCAGCCTTGTTGAACTCTCTACCCCAAAGGTTTCTTTTTTTTCCCCCCCTTGGTTATAACATTTTTTTTATTCAGTTCAATTTTATTTATTTTTATTTTTTACATCATTGTTCATTTTTAAACAATATTTGCTTCCCCCACCCCCTCAGGTGTCGTCCCCATAGAGTTTCCTTCACCAATGCACCCGTGCACCATCACCTCAGTCCTCTGTGCTCCTCCCTCCGTCCCTCCTGATTCCTCTTCCTCCTCCTCCCCTGCAGGATGTTTCTGATTTATAATTGTCTGTTTTTGCTTTGTTGTGTTTTGTACTGTCATTTTTTTTATTTGTTTCCCCTATATTCCTGCTCTAAGTGAAACCATCCGATATTTGGTTTCTATTGGGAAACCCTGTTGAAGCTGTGTCTGCTTTGCTTCCCTAACAGGAGTCCATGAATTTCACCCACCTTCTTCCCTCCCTTCCTCTTATTTGTGATTTCAGTTTGAAAAGTGCTTACTTATACAAACAAACAAACAAACAAAAACCTCACTGGTCTTAAATTGAAAACAGAGTGAAAATATGCTACTAATCTTGGAGTCATTTGAGTGATTTTTCACAGAATGTTCAAAAACCAGACATTCAAAACCAAGAAGAAAACAAATCTCTGTGTGTTTTTCTCTGGGTGCTTCAGCCTTCCCTCCTTTTTCTTTTGTAGCCCCATCAGCAGCACCTTCGAACATCACTATGTTTCTGAATGAATCTAGTGATAAGTTGGATGTCAGATGGATCCAGCCTCCAATTAAGCGGCAGGAGGGG